GGAAAATTAAGGCCGAGCTGTTAGCGCATCATAAGGATTATTATTATTATTATTATTATTATTATTATTATTATTATTATTATTATTATTATTATTGGTTCGGTTTGACATAAAGATGAAAGCAGAATTTTTCCCTGGTTTTATTAAATAAAAACAGATTAAAATGTTTTGTTTAATTAAACATGAAATTAAAAACGACACACTGAGCCTTTTTTTAAAAAAGCGCTTTTCCGCTTCTTTCTTTTTTAGCGGACTTCCCTTCAATTTAGCGCTAATTAAAATGTTATTTAGACAACTGTGGGATTTACAGCATGAAGAGAGAGGAATGAAACGAGGCCCACACGCTGGACTCAACCCGCAGCAAAACATCTGCTACTGCAGAAAAATGCAACTTTAAAACACACGATAAAGATGTTTAACTGAACAAAACTGACATCTGTTGCAGGAGGAGAGAAATAAAGCTGGAAACCAGCAGCTCTGGCTTATTAGAAAATAAAACAAATATCAACTGTTGCAAAGTAAAAAATAATCCTCAGTTTGCTTTGAAATGAAACCAAACCAGAACCAGAACCAGAGATGAGAAAGAAAAATCAAAACTCAAACAATTTCAAGTATCCAAATTTCAAAAAATTTATTCATTTTTCAAACTGCATATTGAAAAAAAATATATATACTCAGCTGAAATTGTAACTGTTATAAGGATGGTATTAGTTATTTACATGGAGTGGTCGGCTGCTGCGCGCAGGCCACAAATCTTTTAAAAAATACAACTACGGGAATGGATCTGAAATAAAAACTTAAAATGTCACAGTAAATATACAGAAACTGTACAAATCAATTAGAAAATAAAGAGCACAAGCGTCATATCTCTAACAGATGAGAAGTGGGAGACGGAAATATAAATTAACCTATGACAGGAAAAAAATGTTTTTGTAAAAGAAAATAAAAATAAAAAGTTTAGTAATATTGAGATTTAAAATAATAAAAAAAATTAACAGTATTACCTGCTTATGTCCCTTTTCTTTCCAATGTTTGCAGTAATTAAGGAGCATATAATCCCAGTTCTGCCATTTTCACCTTTTAATATTTTCTGCAGAACTGGAGTTGCTTTATATAAAAATCGCAACCTCTTGCAGTTTAACAATTTCATCTGATTGTAATGTTTCTTTGATAAATACTGTACAAAAGGTGATTGCAATAATAAAACATTTGATTGCGACTCCCACTTTCTAGATCTCCAACCTGCCCGGGCTGCAGCTCTCTGCCTCCTCTAGACTCCTTATTAAATGAAAGAGAGAAAAAAAACTGTGGTTTCCTTTTTCTTGGAGATTTCTATACAACTTTTCCCACCCCGAAATTTTTCTGTACAAAAATAGTCCAACGTTAAGTAGTCCAGAGTTGCGCTTATAAAAGTTCGGGCTGTTTCTTCTTCTTCTTGTCTTACATGTGAGTTAACGGCAGCGTGCCGTTGATCGTCGTCCCGGGCACGGTGCTCTGGTAGTGCCCGGACATGTGTAACCTGCTCTGGGCGCTCTGGTCGCTCACCTCGGCCCCCGGCAGGTACATGCTGATCATGTCCCTCAAGTCGCCGCTCTGGCAGCCCGGCGCGGCCCGGTGGGACGACGAGGTGACGACGGGCGGGCTGGAGCTGCTGGACTCGGACTTGACCACCGAGGAGGGCCCCATGGAGCCCAGCGCGGTCATGCCCGGCGTGCTCTGCTGGGAGTAGGACATGGAGTAGGTCGGGGAGCCGTTCATGTAGCTCTGGGAGCTCGTCATGGAGTTGTACTGCAGGGCGCTCATGTCGTAGCGGTGCATGGACTGCATCTGGCCCGGGTTGTGCGCGTTCAGCCCCGGGTGCTGGTAGCTCAGCTGGTCCTGCATCATCCCGTAGCCGCCGTTGGTCCAGCCGTTCATGTGCGCCGCATAGCTGTCCATGCGCTGGTTGACCCCGCCGCCCAGTCCGGCCCCCACTCCCACGCCGACCCCGGTCCCCATCCCGTTTCCTCCAGGGGCCAGCAGCCCGCCGGGCAGGGTGTACTTGTCCTTCTTCATGAGGGTCTTGGTTTTCCGCCGGGGCCGGTATTTGTAATCCGGATGCTCCTTCATGTGCAGGGCCCTCAGCCGCTTGGCTTCGTCGATGAAGGGTCTCTTCTCGCTTTCCGACAGAAGTTTCCACTCGGCGCCCAGCCTCTTGCTGATTTCGGAGTTGTGCATTTTGGGGTTTTCTTGCGCCATCTTCCTCCTCTGGCCCCGGGACCAAACCATGAAGGCGTTCATGGGTCTCTTGACCCGCTCCGGGCTGTTTTTCTGGTTCGGGCCGTTCCCCGGGGTGTTGGTGTTGCCCGTGCCCCCCGTGTTGGTCTGGGGAGCTGGGGGCTTCAGTTCAGTCTCCATCATGTTATACATGAGGAACAACTTTCAGTTGGGAGCTTCCGAGCCGAAAAGAGGAAGGGGACAAACTCCAGGAGGCAGCAGAGGGAAAAAGTTACCTGTCGATCTTCTCTGCAACTTTTCTCTGGACAAACACAAGCATCAAGTCGCGTCTCCACTCTCTCCCTTCTCTCTCCCGCCGAGTGAGTGAGTGTGTGTCACAGAGTCAGCGTGTGAGAGTGTGTGACCAGAGAGGCTTGTCCCAGAAAGGTCCCCTGATGTTATGTCCACAGAAACTTGTCCCGCTCGCCGGAAAAAAGCATCAACAAACTGCACTTTTCCGCCGCTCTGTCCGCCTGAGCCTTGACAACTCCAGATAGTTTTTGGACAAGTTAATAGACAACCATTCATGTGACTGGGCTGTCAGAGAATAAATGGCTTCGACCTGGCCAATCAGAGCGCGCGTTCCCCACGACGCGCCAATGAGAGCCTTAATTAGCATAATGGGCGGGGCCTAAATGCCCCGGAGCGGCAGAGGAAGAGCTCTCACTTTCAGGCGCAACATCCAACACAAACTACATGCTCACTGTTTTCCACACTTATGAAAACACTTTTTATATTTACTGCATAAAACAAAACTAATTACATTATGTCTTTAACTTTCCTTTTACTTGGACTTTAGAAGAAATTCAGAGACTGAATGCATGAGGCAAAGATTTGCTGTGCTATGGATCAGCCTGCAAAGATTCAACCAAAAGTTAGGATTGAATTAATGTGTCAGGACTGATTTGTTTTCAGGCTCGTGTTTCATTTTTAAAGGGTTTAATTTCCTCATTTCCAGGCCTGATAAACAGCAACACTAGAATCAAGGTTGTTAGTGAAACTCAAAGCTGAATGTTAGAAACTCTGCATGAAAAGAGGAAAGGTAATCCAAGACGCTCCCTCCCCTCTTCTTCCTCTTCTTCCTCTTCTTCTCCTTTTGTTTAGCCAAGTTGAATGCCAACACACAGAAGGCAGACGGTTCATCTCAGCACCAATAAGCTGTTTTTGTTGGGATGTTGTCGCCACGACTGTCCGGACAAAGACCCAACTCCACTTCCACTTCCTGTGGTGCTGCTGCTGGCAGTGCGCAGGGAGGAGAAATCAGACATGAGGAAAGACTCAAAATATCCCAAATCTAATAACAACAAACACGTTGGTGAGACCGGAGTAGATTCATATTTATATGCATCTATAAAAGTCCAACAGCTGGTTCTGTTGTGATCAGAGCAGTGAGTGGATTCAGAGGAAAAGTTTTCAGATGTCTCATCCCGCAGAAACACGCCGAGCTGCGTGACACAAGCGCCGCCTAGTGGACGAAACCGCAACTGCAAAAAGCTGCTGCCTGCTCCTCAGACCCACAGCACAAATAAAACCTGAAAATGTTCATCCAGAGGAGAAACTTTCTTTCTTCCACCTGCAGCAGCAAAACAAAGTTCAATGAACGATGCATGTCAACACGAGCATCCAGACCGAACCACAGATCAAGACATTTTATTTCTGTTTTTGTCATTTGATAATAAATAAAACCCCCTCCTTCCCCACCTTACATAAGATTCATCTTGTGCTTAATAGGCAGCGAGGGGCGACACATGCAGCTCGGTCCATTATGATGCAAGCTTGAAATGGGCCGCTCGGCTGCGATCTGCATCTGAGTGTGTTCCCCGCTACCTCTAATCTGCTTATGATAATAAAGGAACAGCGGGGCCCTGCTGCTGTCTGAAAGCAAGGCCCCCAGCCAACCGCGGGAATGGCCCCTGCATCCACAATCATCCCGCATTAAAGCCGCTGCTTGACAAAAACCGGGGGGAACTGGCGGGGCGGCGCCCTGCGGCCCCCGCCGCACATCCACGACGGATCCTGCAAAAATGTCCAACAAGCGGCGCGACACCGAAACACGGTTTTAGTTTCATGGAGGAGCAAGAGTAAAAACAGACTGGAGCTGAAATCCAGTTCGGTTTTTAACTTGTTGCGCCAGAAATTGTGCAACAAATATAAAAACCCACATGCCAAAAATCCAGAGAAACTTTAATAATAGCAAAATGCAACAATAATAGATTTGTGCATGACTGAAGAAGTTGCAGATAAAATGCTATTAATGTTGTAAATGCAGCCGCTAGGGGCCGCGCAGCCATGAAGAGCCGATATGTGATCAGAGAAAATTCAATTCAAAACGTTTGATTTTTATTAGAATTTATGTTCAGACTTAACACAACATGCGCTAAAATGATTATTAATTCAGTTTTATATGGATTGTAGTTCGACAGAAAAGGGAAAAAATATATTTATTCACTTTAATCATTAAAAAAAATAGCTGAACAAATGAGTGCAGTTTGATGAAAATGTGAATTATTTAGTATTAATCGCTTTAATAATAATAATAATAATAATAATAATAATAATAATCTGTCGTCAATTTGCCAAATATAAAATATTCCTCATAATGTTTGTTATTTTTCTAAACCGTCAAAAGTGAAAAACATCTGAGAGTCAAGTTCATAAAGCCATGCGGTGTCATTCCACAACACTGCATGCTTTACACACACCCACACACACACACACACACACCAGCTGAAACACACACTTACATGCACACGGCCACGCAGAGCCACGCAGAGCCTCGCGCGCGGGCTTCTCCTCTCCATCGCAGCTGATCTTCCTCCACTGCGGCTCTCATCTTCCTCTCCTCTTGATTGGCACAAATTAAACAACTCGCCGCTTCGCTCAACTTCCCCGGAAACCAAATGATCCTGCGGCCGCCGCTGCGGGTCCCGCTGCGGGTCCCGCTCCGTGGCCCCTCCGGGGTCCCGGGGAGTCCGCGCGGGTCGGATCCGAGCGCCGCGGCGCCTGCGCCGGGCGAGCCGCCGCGCAGCCCCGCTCTCTGTCTGGAGCTCCGCTTGTCTTCTCTCCGCGAGTCCCTGCAACAAGAAAAGCCGTTTATGGCGACACACAATGTGAAAAGGGGGCCGATTTAAAAAGGAGAAGAATGCAAGCAAGAACAACAAAAGTCAGTTATAGCAAAGTCTGCGCCTCTCCTATCTTCCACCCCCTAGCTTAGCCCACATAATGAGCAGGAAAAAGCTTTATATTTTGTTCACTGGGTATTCACAGATAATTTGAAGCCATTGTTTCTGCCACAGATGGTTCTTTTTAATACAATAACGGTGCTCTTTGTGAATAGCGAGCCCACAATAAAAATCTAAAGCGTCCTCCTGAATAACCATTTTGTTCTCTCTTGTATAGGCCGAACAAAAGCGCCAGTGAGGTAATGGCCTGCCTTATTGAAAGCCTCAGAATGGGGATTTGATAAAGATTTTTTTTCGCTCCTTTTTTTCTTTTTGCAAAGTAAACGGCAATGTCAAAGAGAAAGTGACACGGGATGAAAAGAGCTAGAAAAGGTGCCTCCTGCTGCAAGTTTCACATATTATTATTACTATTAATGTTAATATTATTATTTACTTTTTTGTGTTTTGTGCAAAAACTAGTAGAGATGGAGTTTAACAACAAACTGGAGCTTTAATGCAGAATGCATTAAAGTTCTGCTCTGGATTTAAAACAGTGATGGAGATGAGAGACTGGATCAACCTGCTGCGTTCAGATGCGCACCTGTACGGCGCATCCCGGTCCGATGCGATCCGTAATTAACTGCAGGCTAATCAATAAAGCATTTAACGGATGTACAATGCGAGCGCAGGGGGATGATCCCGAGCCAAACATATTGGATGTCTGTGATCGTTACAAAGTGAGGACACGCTGTCTGTCACAGGATGGAGGCTGGAGGGCAGCAGGTGAAGGGATGAGGAGAGATGAATAGCAGGGAGAGGAGGAGGAGGAGGAGGAGGAGGGGGGATGAAGGCCCAAATAATGGAGGAAGGAAAAGATGAACAGAGAGGAGAGAGAAATCCTTTTTTAGAAGCCTGGAGTCAGAACATCAGACCTGCTCTAAAGAAAACCGTCAACTAACATCAACAACATTTCGCTCCCAGATATGATCTAAATTAATAGGAATGAATAAGAATTGCATCCAAATGTGTAAAACATGACAGAATTCCTTCACAATTTCTGTTTAAACCCATTTTCATAATTTATTTATTTTTTCCTAAAACCTGTTAAAAAAAAACTTTAAATATTAACAAATAGCTGCTTCTGCATTCAGTATCCTGAAACTAACGCCTGAACATCTTTTTGTTTCGATGTCATTTGGCAACATGCAAATTAAAACTGTTTTGATTTGATTACAAAATAAGATTTAAGCACACAGCCGATTTCTACAGGGCCACATAAAAGCACCAGTGGGCCGGGTTCGGCCCCCGGGCCTCCAGTTTGACACGTGATAAATCATCACCTACAGGAGGGAGAGACGTTTATAACCTAAAATCATCTTTCACAGAAGTTTCTTCAGTTTCCAACAACAGCAGGTTTTTAATTAATGACATTTAGAAACTCAATATTCTTTATTTACTCTCCAAAACATCCATCCTGCAAGCTGCACTTTTCAAAAAGCAGAATTAAATATTTTCAAACTCTGCCATTTTAAATAAGAAAAAAACCCAGTGAAACGACTGCTGCCTGCACGAGTTTAAGCAACAGCAAATAATAAAAACACCGAATCGCGACACAAACGGATGGAGATCCACCTTCAAGCATCCAGGGTCAAAGTTCATACCAGGGAGAGCATGGCAGCCGAAACCAGACAGCAGCTTGGAGTTAAATAAAAACTGAACCAAAGGAAGACGTGAAAACCCAAAACAGATGAGAGAGAAGATCAGAGTGAAATAACTCAGATTAATCTGATCAATCAGCAGAATTTTAATTCTAAAGCCGTAAAGTGAGGAAAGAACCGAATCAAAGGAGAGAAAGGCCCGCAGCACCATGGGAGCTTTTAGACAGGCCACAACCATCACTGAATGCTAATGTCTGTTACACACACACACACACACACACACACACACACACACACACACACACACACACACACACACACACACACTAAACATTCACATGTGATTTTGCACATTCACACAAATGCATATTACTCCTGCATGCTAACACCTCCATATGCATGAGAGCCGACACATTTGCAGCGTCTGTTTGTGTTTTTTCTGCAGCGCTGCCTGATGGAAGAGCCACAGTGGGCTTTTCTCCCTTTGTGTGTCTGCAAAAGCATAGCATGTGTGTGTGCGTGTGTGTGTGTGTGCGTGTGTGTGTGTGCGTGTGTGTGTGTGTGTGTGCGGCAGACACATTGACACAGTATTCAGTGAAAAGGGAGGCCCTGGCTGAAGGAAACATGGCTAGCCAACTGTCAATCATGGCGCACGCACAAACATTACCACACACACAGAAAGCCGCCCATTCATTAGCGCTGATGTTCTGGTTCTTCAGAGGAGATAGTTACGCAGTTAGAGGCTGCGTTCGGTCCAACCGAGGCTCTCAGCATCTCCAAACGTCTGCATGAGTTCATTCTGTCAATGCACCTGCTTCTGCTCAAATTCATCTTCCCTGTCTTCAACTTTACTATCTGAAGTGCGTTGGGGGCATTTATTATTTATCAGTTATCATCACTATATATTCCAAGTAATAATGTTTAAAACCCTCCATAACTATCCACAGGTTTAAATCAAAATGCAATTATCTGTACTGATGGCCCAGTCAAAGTAAAAACCTCATTTTTGGCCACATTTGAAGACTTTCGATGAGTTTGAACTATTTTGCGGAATGAAAACGATTCCAAGAGACTAAGGACTAATAAAGTCCCAGGAACATGTAGTGAAACTCATCCAGTCGCATTGATTCCTGCAGGTCCGTCTGAACCAATCGATCAGCTGATCAGCTGCTGCTGGACTTCTGACTGAAACCAGGAAGTCAGAGCACATCACCCAGTTCTACAGTCAGAGAACAAACTTTAAAATACTTAGTTTATAAACCACTGAGCGGCTCGGCACCACAATACATTAAATCCAAACCAGGACCAAACAGCTTGCAGCTGGAACAAACTTCAAAACTCCTGAAGCACCGGGTTTCTTTAAATCTAGACTAAAATCCCAGCTGTTAGTCGCTTTGGACCAATAAATAGAAACTGATCAACATCTTTGATGGTAATGATCATTTTCATGACGGCAACAAATGTGAGGTTTGTTGCTGCTTTCTCAATTGGTGACTCCATGTTGTTGGTATTTTTGTGTTTTTTATGATGTCAGGAACTTTGAACTGCCTTGTTGCTGAAACATGTTGAACAAATAAACTTTAAAAAGGTTTGGACTCCTCTGAGTCAGCAGAGGTCTCCCTCATTTATGCAAAAACAAATCAAAGCAAACAAAGTGAAGATGTCAGTCGGACAGATATCTAAACATTTTTCAAATTGCTAATTTTAAAACATTAAGACAATTTTCTCCAAAACCAGATCCCTGATGTGTGACAGCTGATGAGCAAAATTACACATTTATTGAAACCCGACTGACAGAAAATGGCAGAAAACGGCAGACCATCATCGTGTTCATCATGTTTTATGGTGTTTATTGTGTCTGAAGGGACGGAGGCAGAAACCGTTCTTCGGTGTGAACTGAACTGTGCGTATGCGGCCTTGCAGAGTCAGACAGTGAAGGTTGGACCTGTGAAAACCCAACACTCCTCTGTGGCCGACCCATCCCACCACATGACGCAACACAGCTTTCAACTTTCTATGCGGACAGAAAACTTTTCTGAAAAGGGAAGAAAAAAGCCTTTAAAATGCAAGTGTGGACATAAATTTTCATATCTGAACAGCTCTTTTCAGGCCTGGACATGGCTGCTGTCAGAAAGGTGCAGGACAGAAAGCACAAAGTTGAGGATTAAAGCTCTGCAGATAGCAAAGTGCTGACCACCAGCTGAGCGCATCCGGCTGGTCAGTCCAGCTGTTGTTTGTCCAGGCGGCGGCGGGGAGATACACGGACACAGCTGCCACATATTTGCTGAACAACACACTTTGTTGGCATCTTATTGTGAAGGGCAGAACCACACAGCTTGAGCAGATCTGGAGAGAAATTCTGGGGTCGCCATCTTTTCAGGCTCATGTTTTACTCCGACTCTTCCTGATGATGCTCTAGGATTGGTGGGACTCAATTCAAATAACTGCATGATCTGTCAGTAATTATTTGCATTTGAACTCATTTTAATTTTAAATCCCGTCAAAAATAAGCAACATTTTCAATTCAAAACCCCATTTTGCAGCTAAATTATTTAAGAAATGGACATTTGAGTTCAGCAAAAATGTTTTCTATCTGTTATTAATGTAATTTATCCATTAGATTAGTGTTTCAGGAATACAGTTAATGATGCTGGGAATGTCTGTGCTGCTGCTACGTGGTTAGCATTGAGATGCTAATTGGGTTAGAACAGGTTCTCTGATTGGCTAACTCCTTTTAACGTAAGACAGACACAACATTAGTATTTTCCAGCGTCCAATCGAATCGTTTTAATAAGCAAAATGAACCAAGACAAGCTGCTTGGTGGTTGTTTCCAAAATCCTGGCCGTATTATTAAAAAAAAATTATTTTGTATATTTGTTAAAATCATTGTGTTGTGACACAATCTGTAAAAAAACCCAAAAAAAACCCTTTGCCTTCCCCCAGTGCTGACACCATTGCTAAAGCTATTTAGCATAGCGACACATGCAGAAATCAAATAATCTGTTTTGCTCATTTAGTTAAATGTAACTTTGTGGTAAATTTTCAGGATTAGATTTAAGATTAGACAGAATTGCACATCCTTAGATCATCTTGATGATAATTAAACTGTCATCAGTCTTCATGCTGCCTAAATGGTTGCTAACTTGAACAATGTAAAGTTGAACAGATGGTTTTTTTGTTCCGTGGTCACGTTTTTTCAACTCCTGACATATTGAATATTTAAATATTTCATCATTACACGGATAGAAATACTT